AGCAGGGCTCCTTGCCACACTAACGCCAAGAAATAAGCGTGTGCTTCGGGGTACCATCCACACCGGCACACATGATTTCACCGTTCAGGATGCATACCTGCAAATAAACTCCTATAGACACTAGTGCTAAATGCCCAAACTTCACAATTCTTTTAAAAATACTCAAAACTCTCACAGGTATTCAAGCTGCACAGAAAAATGATAATCAACCAATAATCTTTCGTATTCTTTTCAATTTTTGGTGTGTTGACCATTGACTTTTCGAGATATTTTCATCCAAAGAAGACGACCCCTATTTTCCCCAAAGCGGAAAAGTAGCCATCTTGAAAAACGATCCCTCCACAACATGGCAAAATAGCGCCACTTTCGAGCCCAATAGCATCCAAAATGCTCAGAATTGGAAGCCCAAAGTCCGGGCCAGAGGTTCATTACCATATCTCTTCAATTCCCCAATGATACGGCGCTCAGAACTCTTTAATATAGAATATTTTGGGTATAACTTTTATTCATGAGCTTGGCGGATCGATTTACCGGTGTGCACCCTTCAACGGACGGTCATGTTAACCGGAGATTGTGCGTCAAAGCCCGGGCCGTCCCACGCGAAAATCACGCTGCGCTATATTGATCAGCGGCAAGAAGTGCAACATTCTCGTCAAAACACTTCTTGTTCATTAAAGATATTAAAGGCAATATTGTTTAAGTTCTCGATATATATTATTTGATAAATACGAAAGGCCGGTTTGTGACAGGTTTTAAAAGCACAAAAAAATGAAAAAGAAAATAACGTGACATATTATTGCAAAATAACACAATAATTTGGCGAAACAAAGCAATAGTACTGTGGAGTATAACGCGAGTTTTTTTTTTCAATCCTCAGATTAGCAATACTATCGCGTGTTACTTTGCAGTACTATTGCGTTAGTTTGCAATAATATGTCGCGTGTTATTTTGCAATATTACCACATTTTTTCACAATACCTGTTTTGTATTGCTTTTTGTCGCAGTATTGTATTGAGAAAAAAATGTAACGTTGCAAAATAGTGTTATTTTGCTATACTGCGTTATTTTGCACTACTATCGCATTATTTTGCAATACCATTGCGGTATTTTTGTTTACAATATTATCACATTTTTTTTCTCAATAAGCATTGCGTTTTTCCGCAATACTGCAACAAAAAATTAACTCATGAATATTAAATTACATTGATCTATTGCTCTCAAAAGCTAGCCAGTCAACCAAATTACTAAAAGCCAAATGCGGATCGCTGTCTCTATTTGAACTACATTGCAATGATGGGCTATAATTATATAGGCCGTCATTTGCGGCGGCTGATCCAGCTTTTTGAAGTGCTTTTCTGGTCTTACTATTTGTGCGGCAGATAGGTGATGGGATTGTTTGTTTCACGACAACAGCATGGAATTTGGCACACAGTCAGAATATGTCATGAGAAAGATATTTAACTATATGCCATCGCAGATGTGTCCTTCGAAAAAAAGCATAGGTAGAATAAAAAGCAATGGCAGCCATTTTGAATAAAAATATTGCTTGTTATTCTACCTATATTTTTTTCCAAGGACAAATCTGCGATGGCCCTATAGCCACATATCTTCCTCAAGACATAGTCTTACTGTGTCCCAAATGCCATGCTTTTACCATAAAGGTGAACAATCCCCCAAATATTTTCCCTATCTGCCCTACTACATGGAGTTTGACGGAGTCTCCAAGGTCCTTAAAGTTAATGCGACATATGCTTTTCTAAATATAAATGTTGTTAATTGTTAGTTTTGTCTTTATACACGGGCATAATAAAATTCTGCAGATACGGAGGAGCTGCATTGGTAATGAGATGATGAATTGCACACAAATCTTTGATGAAAATGCTTTCAATGAATTGTTCGTGCTTTATCGCCATGAATATGAAATGAAACTATGAAAATGTACGCAAAACCTAACCAATCAACCAACTTATAATGAACAGCACAAACGAATGATGATCCTTATTTTCTCTGTTTGAATTTGTTGCTGCCTCGCCAAAATGTGGGCCTGTTCATGCAAGACATGGTCTAACGTTTTGAGGCGCATTTTGGTGCTGCACATAATGGCTACTCAAAAATAGAAACAGTACATGCATCGGTAGACTTTAATAGTGGAGTCTGACGGAGCATCCAACGTCCACGGAGTTTCTACAACGTATGCTTTATCTAAAAATATTTTTTTTATGGCTTTTTTTGCACAATACAATTCTGCTCTGAGCTAACGAAATGATGGGTTGTTACATTGTATACGGAAAGCCAACTTTTTGCAGAAAAAAGAGAAAATTATTATGGCTAAAAATAATAAAATGGTCTTCCTATATATTATTCTTCTTCTGAAAACGCCTGAATCCCATAAGGGGGTCAGTCCTTTTAAATGAAGAAAACGCTCCATCGGCATTATTCACGAGTCGGACATAGTAAATTGAAAGCGAGGGAACTCTTCATTTTTGGAACTTGCGAAAAGAAATAAAAAGCAATTACATGAAGTTAATTACAGATTAATACCAGTGTGCTCTGATGAATAATTTAAAATTTGTATTATTAGATGGAATTTTATGTCGGGATAGTATAAATCCAATTATAGGTTTTGCCGTTCACCGACGTTTAAACACTGTATACTCAGTGTGTTACCTCCCGAGTGAAAGTTGGAAAAAAATTCTAGTGCAGATGTCTTACCACTCAACCACCGAGCTACGGGATCGGTTGGCTGGTTCGAATCTGATGTACATAGCAGCGGGTACCGCATAAACTATTATAAGATGGAATTTTGCGTCGGGGTATAGTTTAAATCAAATTATAGGTTTTGCCCTTCACCGACGTTTAAACACTGTATACTCAGTGTGTTACCTCCCGAGTGAAAGTTGGAAAAGAATCACTCGGGTGGGACTCGAACCCACGACCTCCTGCTTTCTAGTGCAGATTTTTTTTCCAACTCTCTCTCGGGAGGTAACACACTGAGTATACAGAGTTTCAACGTCGGCGAAGGGCAAAACCTATGTTTGATTCAATATTTGTAATTAAACATACCCTAATATTTTAAGCCACATTTAAAAAAAATGAAAGTGATGCTGCAATGCATAAATAGTCTGGCACCATCCCATTAAACAGTTTGTATTCGTTTTTCTAACGACTCACCCAAATATTCTGCCCTGAACCTAATTTCCGGAGATATCTGATTAACTAAACAAAATCCATATGCGTAGCAGCCATATTAGGCAATTATATACCTTTGTTTTGCTGGGCCCGGATATGCATGAGTGAAGTTCTGTGAACAAGTCTAAAGGATTGTCTCCCAAATGACCCATTTCCCGTAATAATAATTTATGTAGATGTACATGTATATGCCCTTGTAATAAGTTATACGCAATGGATTCACACATATCACTCGTTCATACCATGAATAGTACATGGGAATCTACGTCTTTCCGCTTCTACGTCTTTCCGTCTTTCCGCTTCAAAGGGGGGGAGGGGGGGCCTGGTGCCCATCTTCAAAATCGGGGCGCTCTTCAAAACTGACCATTATTATGCATACTGGAAATATATGCCGATTGTCATGGCGCATTGAAATGGTTTTTTGGGTTGTTTTTTTTTTGTGTTTTTTTTTTGGGTGGTTTCTTTTTTGGGGTTGATATTGGAACTCTCTACCCATTTTTGGAAATACACCATTTTACTCATTTCGCTGCTCATTCGTGACACATTCGACATGCGTTTAAACGACTTTGGTTGGTTGGAGGTAGCGTCGTGATCAGCCGGAGGGCGCTCAATCAGAGGGTCCGGCATACCGGGAGTGGGTTAGTCGGTAAGATTGCTGGGGGAAAACACCGAGATAACCAGGGGAGTCCGGTGGACGGGTCGCAGTGTGATACACCGGAAGGGGCCCCGGGAATGGAGCGGCGGGTGTTGCCTCTGGTGTGGAGTGGAGACCCGCCCTCGTAATAGTCCAAGAGCCAGGGGTCATTTATTTTTTGGAATGAACGTGTTTAGTGGTTATTTTTAGAAAGGGTACACCTTGAGCAGATAAGTGATGTCACATAAGGAGATTAAGAAAATATACGGCCGATGCGCAGCACTGAAAAGAATAAGGGCCACGTTTAAGAATTATTTTCTTTCAAACTCAATAGATGAACAGAAAGAAACAAATTTGAGGACCTTTATAAAATAACCAAGCCTCTCCATTAACCATTGCATTGGGTGCTTGCACTCACTCTTCATGCCTTTTCCAAAAGAAAACAAGAAAAACGAGACACACAGACATCAGACAGAAATCAAACAGACGTCAGGCAGACAGGCAAACAACGTAGGATCTTTTAATATATGATATAGGCCTATTCACATGTATAGAGGACACGTTTAATTTGGAAGAGCAGTTTGTTAAGCTCTGTCCAATATTAACTATAACTCTTTTATTTTTTCCAACTAATACCCCCCAAAAATCAAATCAATGCGAATTTTAAAGGATCTTTAGAACCTACACGACATTTCGTCGCAGAGCTGACATACCGGCGAATCGACGATTTTGGCGATATTGAGATTTTTGGGTGTTTAATGGTTTTGGTTGCTCCTTCAAGTACTTATGCCAAATTCTTAATTCTTGTTTGGATTTTGAGATTCAGAGCCCCGCCTGTGGCGAATCAGTCACAACGACAAATCCATAATTTGACATAGTGACGAATTCGAAATTTAGCTGATAACCAGCTAATGTAAGGTGTACGTTCAAAGTACCAACGAAAGTATTTCGTCAGTTCGTCGGATTGCGCGCGCGTGCGCGCGCAATCCGGCAAACTGACGAATAGAGATTTGGTAATTTGACAAACTGACGGATACGTTTACGATCAAATAAAAAAATATCGCACAACTTCTCTGATTAAATAAGTAACCTGAATGGATACTGGGTTTCCAATTTTATTTCGAATATACACCGAAAGGGATATTATCGAAACATTTATAAGGGTAAAATACGACGCCGAAAAAAATGTCCAACTTCAAATGCGAATTACTTGAAATAGGTTTTCGCTTATCCGTCGTGGTATGTCAGCTCTGCGACGATTTTCACTCCAATCTGTAGTGTTCATTTCACCTTAACGTTAAAGCAGTGTTAACATAGGTTTTCCCGCCAAACTTCACGAAGTTTTCATTCAATTTAACACGCAGGTCGTCATTCGACAATCAAAAATAATCATTCAATTTCACTATCTGAGCAATTTATCGCCTTTTAGCTTCACTCGACTCTGTAAAAGATGCATTCAAATTAAAAGTATCGCGTTGTTAATTCAATTTCGTCTTAACCAGAAGTAAGAGGTTGATCGGGCATTCCTTTTCATTAATAGGCAAACATATTTCCCATTTTGTCAAGCATGTTTTAAGACTTTTAAGGTTGCAAAGACGTAATCCGTATCACGATATTCCAGCTTTGATACCCAACCAGTACAGACGTTGAAAAATCCTACATAAAGTGTTCAGACAGTCATTTGCGGAGGTAAAAATATTTGTTTCTCTTTTAATAGGCTGTCGATCTTCAATTCTGTACGGACGACAAGAAAGATGAGACATGTGGGGTGATGTTCCTTTTATCCCTTTTTCTAAAGATTGCACATTTGGGGTGATGTTTTTCTATAGATTTCACATGCGGGGTAACCGGTGATGTCCCTGAAAGAAAATCACCCCACATGTGGGTTATGGTCAGCACATCAAAGTAGCCGTTAAATTATGTAGCTTGTATATAGGGTATACAAGTCGAGAGACTCCACACACACAAAATCAGATTGTACCATATTTGTTAGCACTGGCGATCGCGTACTCAGGCTAAATTTAAGGTTGGGGTGGTCTTTTGTCATAAATAATGTAAGGGGGTACTATGTCCTGTCTCTAAGATGTGTATATGTTAGAATCACCAGTGGGAAATCTTTATGAGCCAACAAGGATGACGCAATAAACAAACAAATTAAAGTAGGTGCCGCCATTCATCGGACCACCATAACAACCATTCATACAGTTATAAGTGTTCAAGTTTTGGATGTATTTCAAACATGGATAGCAGACCGCTATGCAGCTGGGGGTACGGTCCAGGACGTCGTCAATCTCGTCTCTTGCATTGACGTTGGGCAAACCAATGGCTGCCTCACAGAAGAGCGCCAAGGCGCATACGCACAATATAGCTCTCTGCAGAGAAGTAGAGAAAACATGGGGAAAAGGAACTAATTAATTTTGTGCTTGAAAAGGACACTGATTGGAGCGGTATTAGAGCTCCGGAATAGGCCTACATAGGCGCACTGGTGAAGTGACCACACACAATGTAAAGAGGAATCCATCAGAAATCCCTGCAAGGCCTCTAGTCCCCATTTAAATCACAAGCTATTCAAATGAGCTTTGACAAAGGCACTCCTTTGTTCTTCCGTTGTTTTTTTGAGACTGAACTTGAGAATGGACGTAAGAATCACTTGTGACTGGACTTGCCATGAATTTGTGATGGACTCTCTGGCGCGCATTAGTTTGAATGGTCCCAAACGGTCTCTTTTCGAGGGGTTACTTAGTTTGGGGCTAGACGTCGTTATGGTTTGATACGCGATAACCCGCCGCAGCGATAACCCGCCGCCGCGAGAGGGCGCTATCTCGACCAACCAACATCACCCACGAACCCGTCTGAACAATAGTCTGGTTTCCAGGCCTGACAATTATTCCCGACGCTCACATCTAAATTGAAGGTCAGGCAGCGATATGTTTTATTGCACAACTATGGGGGAACCTTGTGCACTTTCCTATGGGGCATGGTTTTTATAAACAGGCTTGAGTGGAGGCTACTATTTTTCAACTTGGTACGGATTTCGGACTTTATTTCCCTTTAAAAAAAATCCTCCAGAGCCTCGGATCAGAAAAGAAAAGGAAATTGCTGCTATACGAGAAGTATCCGACTGAAAAATAACGTTTCTAAGATAAAAATTGAAATTTTTGAAAAAAAGAGAGCAAAACCTGAAGGGTACACAGCGGGGAATCGAACTCGGGAACTTTGATCATTAGGCAGCATGCCTAACCACTAGGCAACGGCGGTGCTCGACCATACGTTGCAATTCAATCCTATAACCTTGATTCAGGTCGCCTGAAAAATGGTTACCCTGTATACTATAGACGGCCCTTTTTCAAAGCTCGGCTTCGTTTCCGAATTCGCTTCATCACTTATAGCTTTTAAAGTTCAGATCAATTTTTTAATAAACCACTTATCATAAAGTTATGATAATACATGATAAAGTTATAAAAATCAGACTGTACCATTTTGTTAGCACTGGCGGTCGCGTACTCTCTTCATCACTTCACTTATTTAAAAGGTAAAATGAGAAGTGAAAAACGCTCACTGAGATTCGAACTCGGGTCACCTGATTAGAAGTGGGGCCTACTTCCAACCAGTGCACGAATCAGCAGCTATAATCGTCGGTGATTTAAACACCATTATTCCTTGTTATATAACTTATTCTTTAAAGCCCTGGACATCATGAATAATGCATAATGCAGAGAGAGCGGCAGAGCGCCCTGTTTTGATATTGTCCGATCTCGTTTGGAAAAAAAGGAAATTGCATCCCGCCTACGGAAAAGAAATTTGCCTTCGGCGGGTTATCGCGTATCAAACCTTAAGGGTGCAGACCAGTATTAAATAAACTGCCATATATACCCCCATGATAAATGCCCCAACTTCAGAAATTCAGGGAAAAAATACTCACACCTTTCCATGCAAAATGTTTGAGACACACTTCAAATTAAAGCTTATTTCATCATCTTTCATTATTTTTTCTTCTAATTTTCGGTGGGTAATCTGATGACTTTTGGGAGAAATTTCCATTCGAAGATGATCACCCCTTAAAAATGGTCTTGAAGCCCATCGCCATTTTGAAAAACGGTGCCTACACTCCATTGCAAAACAGGGCGCTATTATGGCCCCAATTTCATCCAAATTTTACAGAAATACAAGCTCACGGTCCTGGGCACGGCTTCCATCCTTATTTTTTACAAACCCTCAAGTTCATGGCCCACAATATGCTCAAATGAGGGCATTCAAATCGTGATTTGGCCGGCGTAGTCAATTTTGGACCGATTTACTGGCCTGCACCCATAACAACGTCTAGCCCCAGACTAGGGTTTTTTCAGAAGCCCTATGCCCGTATTTAGCCATGCAGCCAGGGAACATGCACACAGTCAAGATGCTAAATCAATGCTGTAAATCTCCATTTCTTGGAGTTGAAATAAAATACGAAGAGAGAATCCCTATAATGTGAACAATAATCTATATAAAATGGTAAATCAAAAATATTACGTCTGCCTCATGTCGACCTGCAATTTGCTTGCGCCGCGAGTGATTTTGTTTTTCATTTATGCATTCACTGTGGACGTATATTGAAAGGCGTCGAGTTGCAAGCCAAATTCTCGGACTTTATTTTGCCCCGAAAAAAATCCCCCCAACCACAAGTTAGAATAAGAAAATTGTTCCAAACGACTTTAAAAACGATGCCTTGACCAAGGTTCTGTTTTTCATGTCAAAAAGTAATTCTAAAATACTTCCATCCTGCGCTTACAATTTACTTAAACTTTCCTTTTATTTTTTAATATTCATGAGTCTACGTTTTTGGCCTTTATTATTGAATTCTGATAAGTAATAACTACATAACCCTGTTAACGCCGAGCACAATATATTTTGCTTTAAAATAACCTATGAAATGTCGCATTTGTTTTATCGGTTCGGGACCACATCTCTCTAAAACTATTTAATGAAAGCCCAATTAAAAACGAAATTTGGGTAAACGGTGTTCTCCTCGAAATTTGACGTTTATTTCCCGGGTAAATACTTAAAATCTATAACGACAAAAACTGCACAATACCATCCTGAAGTATTTATTTTTTAACAATTTTGGAACAGTTATAACTTACATTAGGAATAGTTCTGCTTACAGTTTTATGAATATTTTCGTTTTGGATGTCATGCAAAAACCCCGGCACACCTGGAAACTTCGCGATTACAAGCCATCGGGTATTAATGCCCGTTATTACGCATCTAACCAATTAAGGCAAATCATCTCATCCATCCCACCCCCTGATCCGGAATACAGTCTCAAATGCAAGTTGTAATGATTCGTTCCATTCCAAGGCTCGCTTTTTAAGTTAAAGGCAGGACAGAGTATACCACATAAAACTAGAGGTGAACCCAAACACGACTGTTTTCAAACAATGAGCAAGAGCTAGATTTCATGTATAAATATAGCTCAGCATGACGGATTCTCAGGTTTCACGATCAATCTCGGGGCGTGTAATCAATTACCAATGAGCTTGGTTATCGAATAGCCTAATCTTTCTTATTTTCGGTGTTTGGCTAATGTTTGAGTTGCAGAAGATATCACTTTAAATAAAATGAGATATACCACTTGTTCCACACCGCTGAAAAGTCGAGAGTCACATCTTAAGAAGTGTCGCATCTCAATCAGATTTGTTTTAGCAGTGAACACAAATAATTTCTAAAGATGCTTTAACATAGGCATGTAGGCCACGGTAGCTTGCATGAATCTCCATGGCTTACCTTTTTTTTTTTTGTAACTTACTATGTTATTATGTGCTTAGTTTCTTCTAGCATACAAAAATATCACAAGACAGAATTTCAGGATAGTTTATTATTTAAAATGAAATACCTTTATACTAGGATGTTGGTAAATGACAGTCTAAAGTATCCTGTAAAATTATGGCACCTTGTGTGAAGTCATTTTCAAGAAAATGGTATTTTTGTTTACATTTCCAACGGTGGTCGGCCGACCACCGTTGCAAAAACCTAACTATTTTTTAACTACTGCTCCAAATTTACCACTTTTTAAGTCAAAATTGGTTTGCTATTGGTTACATATTCATGAACGGGTGCAAGCCAGCTAGACTGGTTTCCTTAACGTAAAATTTTCCGGCATCTATAAATTGATCCATTTCATCTTTAGCGGAGTCAGGGAACCAGACTACTTGAACTTTTTTGTTTTTCTTGGTTTTTCCAGCACTTTCGAACACAAAACTTCAAACATGTCAGTGTAACAATAGGTAGGTATAAAGCTTACTTCATGGAAACGGAGTTCAGCGCGCAGGAAAGAGTGTTGCTTCGTAAAAACATTTTTGTTCGCATTTGAGCACAGTGCGCGCCATGCATTACAGCGGTACATGGAACTTGAGTGTTACTTCGTGCAAACGAAAATTGTCACTTTCGCGCAAAAGTTGCCATGGATAATAAGCGTGATTATTAAAGTAAAGCTCTTGAAACTTTGAAACTTCGTGTAATATGGTAGGCCTTGATTAATTATGTTTAAAAATGTAGAAAACTGAAACCAAATAAAAAATATGGTTTAACACGTGGAGTGTTACTTCGTGGTGTCCGTAACGAAATTGTTATAACTTTTTCACTTGAAATTTAAGAAACTCACCATTTTTTGTATGTCTTCTGTATGTCGTTCTTCTATACCAGTCACACAGTGTCGTTGCGGTGTGTATCTGCGGTGGGAGGCCTAAAAATTCCTGCAGGACAAGACGAAATCAAACTATATAAAAGCATATAGGTTTTATTCTTGATCTAATCCAGACAGATCTCGCAAACGGCCGTCTTAAGAAACACACAAAGAACCACTCGATAGACCGAGTACAAACAAAAACGCATGTACAGTGTGAGTAAAAAAAAACACTATACACTTTTAAAATTGGCCAAAGTTTTTTTTCTGTAGTAATATAGATAAGATATTTTCATATGTACTTTTAGAGTAACTCTTCCTGCTTCTTTGATGACATTTTCACTGGATTAGTTTTCATGCATGACTGCACAGGAGGCAATTAAAGGGGTCGGGTGAAATCTGACTTGCTACAGAATAAAACAATGGCCAATTACAAAAGTGTATAGTTTTTTTTTACTCACACTGTAGTGACCGACCAACCTGTTGATATACAATGGATCTACCTGTAGTTTGAAGTCCTTGAAGTGGGTAGGATTTTGTGCCGATTGCTGTGCACAGTTCAGAGAACCCCTAAGTTATAGTCGATTGATGGATTTTAAAGTCCGAGTGCTTCAGACCAGCCTTTTCACGTGGAAGCAATGCATCTATCTTTGGCCTGCATGGGTAACAGAACGATTGTCAGGCTTTTGATTTTAATAGTAGTGTATACAGTGAGAACCATAACTGGGTAATTCTTCAGTGAATGGCCCCGACTAGCAAGATCTGGTAACGTGCTTTCCTAATAAATTCAAATTCATGCACGCATGCGCATCAATGGGAAGTGAGGCAAAAAACCGAAATCGGCCCATTAAAAATGTACAGGGGACCAACATGGTTTGTCATTTTCTCTCAATTTCTCCAGGATTTGTCCCATTTGTCTTGGGAAAGTCCCTGAAATCGTCAAAGGTATTACTTTCTGGTCCAAGTGATTTTTGAGGGGTACGAAATAAAAACTTTCAAAAATGCTTCGTCCCGTGCGCATGAGGCCCAAGGAAATCAGCAGGGCTCCTTGCCACACTAACGCCAAGAAATAAGCGTGTGCTTCGGGGTACCATCCACACCGGCACACATGATTTCACCGTTCAGGATGCATACCTGCAAATAAACTCCTATAGACACTAGTGCTAAATGCCCAAACTTCACAATTCTTTTAAAAATACTCAAAACTCTCACAGGTATTCAAGCTGCACAGAAAAATGATAATCAACCAATAATCTTTCGTATTCTTTTCAATTTTTGGTGTGTTGACCATTGACTTTTCGAGATATTTTCATCCAAAGAAGACGACCCCTATTTTCCCCAAAGCGGAAAAGTAGCCATCTTGAAAAACGATCCCTCCACAACATGGCAAAATAGCGCCACTTTCGAGCCCAATAGCATCCAAAATGCTCAGAATTGGAAGCCCAAAGTCCGGGCCAGAGGTTCATTACCATATCTCTTCAATTCCCCAATGATACGGCGCTCAGAACTCTTTAATATAGAATATTTTGGGTATAACTTTTATTCATGAGCTTGGCGGATCGATTTACCGGTGTGCACCCTTCAACGGACGGTCATGTTGACCGGAGATTGTGCGTCAAAGCCCGGGCCGTCCCACGCGAAAATCACGCTGCGCTATATTGATCAGCGGCAAGAAGTGCAACATTCTCGTCAAAACACTTCTTGTTCATTAAAGATATTAAAGGCAATATTGTTTAAGTTCTCGATATATATTATTTGATAAATACGAAAGGCCGGTTTGTGACAGGTTTTAAAAGCACAAAAAAATGAAAAAGAAAATAACGTGACATATTATTGCAAAATAACACAATAATTTGGCGAAACAAAGCAATAGTACTGTGGAGTATAACGCGAGTTTTTTTTTTCAATCCTCAGATTAGCAATACTATCGCGTGTTACTTTGCAGTACTATTGCGTTAGTTTGCAATAATATGTCGCGTGTTATTTTGCAATATTACCACATTTTTTCACAATACCTGTTTTGTATTGCTTTTTGTCGCAGTATTGTATTGAGAAAAAAATGTAACGTTGCAAAATAGTGTTATTTTGCTATACTGCGTTATTTTGCACTACTATCGCATTATTTTGCAATACCATTGCGGTATTTTTGTTTACAATATTATCACATTTTTTTTCTCAATAAGCATTGCGTTTTTCCGCAATACTGCAACAAAAAATTAACTCATGAATATTAAATTACATTGATCTATTGCTCTCAAAAGCTAGCCAGTCAACCAAATTACTAAAAGCCAAATGCGGATCGCTGTCTCTATTTGAACTACATTGCAATGATGGGCTATAATTATATAGGCCGTCATTTGCGGCGGCTGATCCAGCTTTTTGAAGTGCTTTTCTGGTCTTACTATTTGTGCGGCAGATAGGTGATGGGAATGTTTGTTTCACGACAACAGCATGGAATTTGGCACACAGTCAGAATATGTCATGAGAAAGATATTTAACTATATGCCATCGCAGATGTGTCCTTCGAAAAAAAACATAGGTAGAATAAAAAGCAATGGCAGCCATTTTGAATAAAAATATTGCTTGTTATTCTACCTATATTTTTTTCCAAGGACAAATCTGCGATGGCCCTATAGCCACATATCTTCCTCAAGACATAGTCTTACTGTGTCCCAAATGCCATGCTTTTACCATAAAGGTGAACAATCCCCCAAATATTTTCCCTATCTGCCCTACTACATGGAGTTTGACGGAGTCTCCAAGGTCCTTAAAGTTAATGCGACATATGCTTTTCTAAATATAAATGTTGTTAATTGTTAGTTTTGTCTTTATACACGGGCATAATAAAATTCTGCAGATACGGAGGAGCTGCATTGGTAATGAGATGATGAATTGCACACAAATCTTTGATGAAAATGCTTTCAATGAATTGTTCGTGCTTTATCGCCATGAATATGAAATGAAACTATGAAAATGTACGCAAAACCTAACCAATCAACCAACTTATAATGAACAGCACAAACGAATGATGATCCTTATTTTCTCTGTTTGAATTTGTTGCTGCCTCGCCAAAATGTGGGCCTGTTCATGCAAGACATGGTCTAACGTTTTGAGGCGCATTTTGGTGCTGCACATAATGGCTACTCAAAAATAGAAACAGTACATGCATCGGTAGACTTTAATAGTGGAGTCTGACGGAGCATCCAACGTCCACGGAGTTTCTACAACGTATGCTTTATCTAAAAATATTTTTTTTATGGCTTTTTTTGCACAATACAATTCTGCTCTGAGCTAACGAAATGATGGGTTGTTACATTGTATACGGAAAGCCAACTTTTTGCAGAAAAAAGAGAAAATTATTATGGCTAAAAATAATAAAATGGTCTTCCTATATATTATTCTTCTTCTGAAAACGCCTGAATCCCATAAGGGGGTCAGTCCTTTTAAATGAAGAAAACGCTCCATCGGCATTATTCACGAGTCGGACATAGTAAATTGAAAGCGAGGGAACTCTTCATTTTTGGAACTTGCGAAAAGAAATAAAAAGCAATTACATGAAGTTAATTACAGATTAATACCAGTGTGCTCTGATGAATAATTTAAAATTTGTATTATTAGATGGAATTTTACGTCGGGATAGTATAAATCCAATTATAGGTTTTGCCGTTCCCCGACGTTTAAACACTGTATACTCAGTGTGTTACCTCCCGAGTGAAAGTTGGAAAAAAATTCTAGTGCAGATGTCTTACCACTCAACCACCGAGCTACGGGATCGGTTGGCTGGTTCGAATCTGATGTACATAGCAGCGGGTACCGCATAAACTATTATAAGATGGAATTTTGCGTCGGGGTATAGTTTAAATCAAATTATAGGTTTTGCCCTTCACCGACGTTTAAACACTGTATACTCAGTGTGTTACCTCCCGAGTGAAAGTTGGAAAAGAATCACTCGGGTGGGACTCGAACCCACGACCTCCTGCTTTCTAGTGCAGATTTTTTTTCCAACTCTCTCTCGGGAGGTAACACACTGAGTATACAGAGTTTCAACGTCGGCGAAGGGCAAAACCTATGTTTGATTCAATATTTGTAATTAAACATACCCTAATATTTTAAGCCACATTTAAAAAAAATGAAAGTGATGCTGCAATGCATAAATAGTCTGGCACCATCCCATTAAACAGTTTGTATTCGTTTTTCTAACGACTCACCCAAATATTCTGCCCTGGACCTAATTTCCGGAGATATCTGATTAACTAAACAAAATCCATATGCGTAGCAGCCATATTAGGCAATTATATACCTTTGTTTTGCTGGGCCCGGATATGCATGAGTGAAGTTCTGTGAACAAGTCTAAAGGATTGTCTCCCAAATGACCCATTTCCCGTAATAATAATTTATGTAGATGTACATGTATATGCCCTTGTAATAAGTTATACGCAATGGATTCACACATATCACTCGTTCATACCATGAATAGTACATGGGAATCTACGTCTTTCCGCTTCTACGTCTTTCCGTCTTTCCGCTTCAAAGGGGGGGAGGGGGGGCCTGGTGCCCATCTTCAAAATCGGGGCGCTCTTCAAAACTGACCATTATTATGCATACTGGAAATATATGCCGATTGTCATGGCGCATTGAAATGGTTTTTTGGGTTGTTTTTTTTTGTGTTTTTTTTTTGGGGTGGTTTCTTTTTTGGGGTTGATATTGGAACTCTCTACCCATTTTTGGAAATACACCATTTTACTCATTTCGCTGCTCATTCGTGACACATTCGACATGCGTTTAAACGACTTTGGTTGGTTGGAGGTAGCGTCGTGATCAGCCGGAGGGCGCTCAATCAGAGGGTCCGGCATACCGGGCGGGTGGTGCCTCTGGCGTGGAGTGGAGACCCTCCCTCGTAATAGTCCAAGAGCCAGGGGTCATTTATTTTTTGGAATGAACGTGTTTAGTGGTTATTTTTAGAAAGGGTACACCTTGAGCAGATAAGTGATGTCACATAAGGAGATTAAGAAAATATACGGCCGATGCGCAGCACTGAAAAGAATAAGGGCCACGTTTAAGAATTATTTTCTTTCAAACTCAATAGATGAACAGAAAGAAACAAATTTGAGGACCTTTATAAAATAACCAAGCCTCTCCATTAACCATTGCATTGGGTGCTTGCACTCACTCTTCATGCCTTTTCCAAAAGAAAACAAGAAAAACGAGACACACAGACATCAGACAGAAATCAAACAGACGTCAGGCAGACAGGCAAACAACGTAGGATCTTTTAATATATGATATAGGCCTATTCACATGTATAGAGGACACGTTTAATTTGGAAGAGCAGTTTGTTAAGCTCTGTCCAATATTAACTATAACTCTTTTATTTTTTCCAACTAATACCCCCCAAAAAATCAAATCAATGCGAATTTTAAAGGATCTTTAGAACCTACACGACATTTCGTCGCAGAGCTGACATACCGGCGAATCGACGATTTTGGCGATATTGAGATTTTTGGGTGTTTAATGGTTTTGGTTGCTCCTTCAAGTATTTATGCCAAATTCTTAATTCTTGTTTGGATTTTGAGATTCAGAGCCCCGCCTGTGGCGAATCAGTCACAACGACAAATCCATAATTTGACATAGTGACGAATTCGAAATTTAGCTGATAACCAGCTAATGTA